CATGGATGAGAAGCGAAAAGTCGGCAACTTTTGCAGTAACTGACAGCACATCTGGTAGTAAAAGTAGACACATTTCATTTAATTTTGCATGGGCTCTTCGCGACTCTGGAGTCCTGCAGGAATCCGGAGGACAGTGAACAGGAGTGAGAGGGAGCACACTCCTAAAAAATCTCCCCCCTTTTTTTAAATAAACCTCGTAGCCTACTGTGTGCACTGTAATCCGAAATCAAACGCACTCAGTGGCTTTCTGAGTGTTAAATCCCATCTGTGCTTTTCTTCTTGTGAGATGTCATTTTTTTTATATTAGTAATAGCCTGCTGTCCTCCAAAGTTATGAATTCTCAAAATATTATATTTATGATATTTTTGTGGAAAAATTATGTATTCATGCTCAGTTCAGCATAAGTTACCGTGGAGATCTAGCCCGCTAAGAAGTGAACCAGCGTCGTAGGACCGGAAATCCAGAGTTTTCCCTGAAGTTAGCTCGCTAAGCGAAAATCCTGCTTCGTAGTACAGAGGCCTGTAGCCTACAACAAGTAAAATCAAGCAATCTGATTGGTTCTTAGCCGTGATATAATGAGCGTATATCACGGGATAGGGGATTGTAGTTACTTTTCAGAAGTCATGTATCCCTCCGCGTCTGAGAAAACCTACAACCGTTACAACTGTTACATTACGTCCGTTACGAAACTAACTAACTTACAAACCTTAAGATGGAAACATTTAAGGTTAACTTCGACCTCCGGGGTGGCCTTACTATGGAGGAGTGGATTGAGCAGTGCCTATCTCCAGAAAAATAAGCACCTAAACGACGACTTGCAGAGCTACGTGAAGAGCAGGTAGACCAACTGGAAAAGTACCACCATTCAAAAGCTTTCTGATGCGGGTCTTGAAACAAAGCAGAGAAATTATGACCGTTAGTGACCACAGGTGCGAAAGCTCTCTCCAGAGCTACTGGAAGCCGAATCTCGCGGACCGGAGAAAGTGGAGCAATATTTTCGCCACGCCAAGCAACAGCCAGAACAACCTCAGCCTAGTAAAAGTAACCACGTAAGCCATTCTACTGATGCTGGACAGTTTTTCAGTGGGTGCACAATAAACGGCAACATACAAATGAATGTAAATAAATAGCCAAATAATGGATCAACGCTCTCTGTCTAATATGTTCGCTAGCTGTTAGTGTTGTTGCATAGCAACCACCTCGCACTATGTTTTGTGCAGAAGGCAACGGAGGGACTATTTTATTTTGAACATCATTATTTACTAATTAAAAACTATTTAAATTAGAGTGTGTATTTTTCTTTCATATTGCCACACTTGGTAACCGTTTTATAAAAGCTTCGCGTCGGGCCGAACCACGCCCCTTAACTGTGATATAATGACCATATACCACGGCCTGTCGTGAGCTATTGCTTAAAGGACACCTATCATGCTATATTTAAATGATATATTGTAGGCCGCTCTGATCAAGTCAGAAGAGGGGGAGAAAAATAGATCTCCGTCCTCCGTGTTTTATTATAGCCTATTATTATATAGAGTCGTTATTCATTTGTTTTAAAGCTCAATAAATAACAAAGAAGACCTTTGACCGGCACGTTTCTAATTTTGTCCGGAAGATTTAAACTTTAACGGACATCTTGACCGGCGAAAGAAACTGAAACTGAAACTCTGCCGCACGATCCCCTCGTTCCTTGGAAGAGGCGGAGAGGTGGGTGTTTGTCATCTGCTGGTGGACTAACCGGAGATAATTACAGTGCTTGCCTCGACGGGGAGGGATTGCATTGAATTAAAGCAGCAGGAGCAAACGCTTGCCTCGGGGAGGGAGAAAAAAAGCCACAGCGGAGAATAAACAGAAGGGTAACCATGGTAACCATGCGCGGGAAGTCTTCTTCGCTGCTTTTGTGGCAGACTACAACGCCACTTACAGGCCTGGCATATGTACTACAGCGTCTCCAGCGCTGTCGAGCGGCAATGGCCGGCCGTGGCCCAACCCCACATTCCCCTGATAGGTGGAGAGTTGGCCCAATAGCCGTAGCGCCACCGTCCTGACGTCAGGACAGTGTTCAAATCTGGATCAGTTTTTATCAGATCCGTTGCAGCCCCTTTTTTAGAGATTTGGGTATGGAGGAAAATAGAGAGGGTTGTGTTTTCTGACACTTGGTGAGTTCCCTGGAACACCGGGGACACATATTCATGTATACAAGATGTGCATTTTGCATGATAGGTCCCCTTTAAGTACCAACACATCAACTTCCCGACGCGCGGGGGAAACATACTGGACCATGTTTATTCCCCTTTCCGGAATGGATATAAGGCTCTCCCTCGCCCTCCCTTCGGCAAATCAGACCATATCTCACTACTGTTGTTGCCTGCTTACAAGCAGAAACTTAAAAGGGACAGACCGATAACAAGGACAGTACAACGATGGAGCGAGGAGTCAGTTTCAGCACTGCAGGATTGCTTTGCATCTACGGATTGGAGTGTGTTTGAGGACAATAACATCAACACACACACGGACACTGTCATCTGCTACATTGGGAAATGCATCGATGACGTGGTACCGAAGGTTTCTGTACGGACATTCCCAAATCAAAAGCCCTGGGTAAACGGTGAGGTGCGCGGCAAACTGAAAGCGCGCACTCTCGCGCACACAGCGGGAGATTTGGAGGAGTACAGGAAGTCTAGGTATGATCTCCGGAGAGCAATAAAAAATGCAAAGAGACAGTACAAAGACAAGGTGGAATCTGACTTCAAAGGCTGTAACACTAGGAATATGTGGGCGGGACTAAGGACAATGACTGACTACAAAGGAGCAGCGGGGGGTGCTGCGGGAGTGTCTGCGTGCGCATCTCTCCCAGATGAGCTAAACAGTTTTTTTGCACGCTTTGAGAGCAGCCAGGCTGTGGAGGTACAGAGGGACCAGGAGCTACACTGCCCTTTTGTTTTAAATAGGGCAGATGTGTGTAAATCCTTTAAAAGGGTTAACCCACACAAGGCTCCTGGACCTGATGGCATCCCTGGCCGTGTTCTCAGGGTGTGTGCAGTTCAGCTGGCAGAGGTGTTCACAGACATCTTCAACAGGTCCCTGCTGCAGTCTGTAGTCCCCACATGTCTTAAACACTCCACCATCATTCCTGTCCCCAAAAAGACAATCATCACCTGCCCCAACGACTACCGCCCAGTAGCACTCACCTCCATCATAATGAAGTGCTTTGAGCGGTTAGTCAAATTATTCATCACCTCCTCCCTCCCTGAATCTCTGGACCCCCTGCAGTTTGCCTACAGAGCAAACAGGTCCACAGACGACGCCATAGCCCTCACCCTCCACACTGCCCTCTCACACCTGGACCCGAAGAACAGGAACACATATGTGAGAATGCTGTTCATTGACTACAGTTCAGCATTCAACACCATTGTGCCCTCCAAGCTGGCCATCAAGCTCAGAGACCTCGGGCTCAACAGCGCCCTCTGTGACTGGATCCTGAACTTCCTGACGGGCAGACCCCAGGCAGTGCGGGTGGGAAATATCACATCCTCCACCCTGATTCTCAACACCGGTGCCCCTCAAGGCTGCGTGCTCAGCCCTCTCCTCTACTCCCTGTTCACCCACGACTGCGTGGCCACACACAGCTCCAACACCATCGTGAAGTTTGCTGATGACACGACCGTCATCGGCCAGATCACAGACGATGACGAGACGGCGTACAGAGAGGAGGTCGAAAACCTGACATCTTGGTGCCAGGAGAACAACCTCCATCTCAACATCAGCAAAACAAAGGAGCTGATTGTGGACTACAGGAAGCAGCAGGGAGAGGGACACGCCCCCATCGCCATCAATGGGACTACGGTGGAGAGAGTCAAAAGCTTCAGGTTCCTTGGGGTCCACATCACTGAGGACCTGACATGGTCTCTTCACACCACCACCATCACCAAGAAAGCTCGACAGCGGCTCTTCTTCCTCCGCAGGTTGAGGAGGTTCAAAATGGATTCCAGGATACTCTGCAACTTCTACAGGTGCACGATAGAGAGTATCCTCACTGGCAGCATGACGGCCTGGTACGGCAGCTGCACCGACCTCGATCGTAAGGCTTTACAGAGGGTGGTGAAAACTGCACAGCACATCACCAGGACGGAGCTGCCATCCATGGAGGACCTTTACTCCCAGCGGCTCAGGAAGAAATCACTACGGATTATCAAAGACCCCCATCACCCCAGCCACAAACTGTTCTTTCTGTTGCCGTCTGGCAGACGTTACCGCAGCATCCTGGCAAGGACAAGAAGATTCGGAGACAGTTTCTTCCTGCGGGCAGTGAGACTGTTAAAAAATTGAACTGTTGAAACAACTTCAAACATTCAACTGCTACTCAGTAGTATGTATCTAATACCTAATATATATATATCATTCCAATAACTTGTATATAGACTCATACTGCACTATTCCACATCATAACTTTATTTCATTTTTATAACTATTATTATTTTTGTATTGCTCTTGCTCTTATTGTTATTATGTTATGTTATTATGTTGCATTGTTGGAGAAGCCTGTGACATAAGATTTTCAACTGCATAATTACTCTGTAGCTATGTCAGATTGACAATAAAGAACCTTGAACCTTGATGTACTGTTATATTTCACCACTGCTTATAAATCAATCATTTAAAATATAGCACCTCCTCCTAAAACAAATTGAAGTCGCAATAACATATATTTCTCAAAACATTTTCAATGCAACAGTGGGTCAAATCACATGACCTATAACATGTGGGATGCTGTTTACTTTATTTTTAATCAAATGGAAGACTTTGCTCTGAACAAAAGATGGGCACTTCCTCAAAATGTTCACCTTTAGTTTTCAATCTAAATGTATAAAAGAATAACTCCATTATCCATAAATCATAATTTTCAGGTGGAGGCCTTAAAGCGATAGGTGCTAAAACGGAGCGTTTCATGTCAATGGTACATTTAGGTTTATTAAAGACAGACCATATGAGATAAATAATGTGTTTAAAGAACATTAAATCGTGCATACATGTTTTAATACAATCCCCAAACACAAGAATTAACCTTCAGTTGAGCATGACAAGTCTCCTTTAAACTGAATGTTGCGTTTATATCCTTTTTTTTGTCATGATGTGTGTCTCTTTCTTTCCACATGGGGGCAGCATCCGGCCCCCAGCCGCAGCAGCATCCTTCCCTTCAGGTGAGCGCAGTTACCTGACGGTGCGCTGTATGACAGCGCATTAAATCCAAACAGCGCCACACTACAGTAGCGCATTCACACATTCGAGAAAAAGCGGTGATGCGTCTGCTGCTGTTGTCACCACAGGACAGTAGAGGGACAGCTGGCACTGTTTCTGGAGGCATAAATGCACTGGTGAGTGAGGAGGGGAGGAGACGAGAGGGAAGAGGGGGAGAAATGTTGAGTCAGTGTGAGGCAGGAGCACGGAGGTAACTGTTGGTTCCGCTGGATTTTTGTCGCTGCACAGGAACAGGAGCGAGTTTTCTCCACGACATGCCGTGTCCAAACATTTACGCGGAGCTGCTCCGGGGAGCACCGACGCGCCGCTGACTGCTGCCTGCCCGACCAGCCTCCGGACACAAAGGTAAGCACTGCTGTCCCCAAACGTTACACCTCTCTGCGTTTTATTCCACACGGAGAAATGACCCACAGCCAAGCATTTCTGCGCACTTTTTAAGGCTTACTTAAGATTGGGGAGGTCGATGCTCCACCTCCGCGCACATGTTGGCCGCGGTGCTCTCCATGTTGTTGGGCGTTGCGGAGCTGCTTATGGACATTAATTAAAGAACAGGTGTGGATACTCAGTTAAATGACGTAGTTGTAGCGGTATACTTGGTCGTGGAGGATCAAGCTCAACATAGGCCTACATAAATCACTCTGGGTGCCATGTCTAAAATACCCCATCACGGTTTATTCATTATTCACTCAAGAAGGTATCGTTATGTTTCTTAAGGGAGTCCTTAAGCAGTTTTACATCAGAACGATGTCACATGTTAGGGCAACAAAAGGTAAATAGTAAGTCTTGCATCGCAGGACATCTCCATCATCAGCTGTGGTTGTTGAGCTTTTACAAGTTTGCATATCAGCTGTAGGGACTCAGTGATGGGGCAGATTCAAAGCTTTAGTAAAAAGAAAGTTGCAGGGCAAATCCATCCAGCTGTTTAGTGAGATGCGTCTTTTTCTGGAAAAGCCTGGCCATCTGCTGCTGCCTGCCCAACATCTGGCTGCAGCTGGGTGTCTGACTGGCTGACAGTCTTTATCTCTTTCGAACTTTCTGCTGTCTCTTCACTGAGTGTTGGAGAGTCCTGAGTCTGTGCTCTGATGGGATTCTCTCTCTGCAGCCTCACTTTGTTCTCAGTGCAACCTGCTGGCTGTCAGCTGCTGAAGCAGAGGATGATCAATGTTTTTTCAGGAAAGAGAATGTACCGGAGAACACCTCATGTTAGAATTTCACAAAGCTGTGTTCACCTTTTTATTAACCCTGTTTTGATAATAGGGAGGCACGATATGGCCATGATCTTCTATCCCAATAGAAGTCATTTCATATCTTTATTATGTTATATTTTACGATGAAGCATGTTAGTAATTATTGTATGTACACTCAATGTAAGAAATGATGACATGATAAAGTCTATTTTTGTATTCTCCTGGGTGAAGTTAATACCTAATTGTGAAATTTAGTGCAGAATAAACATAACAGCTTGGACTTAATATAGAGAAAAACTAAATCAATATTTAGACCCATACTCTATACCAGGGGTACTCAAATACAAATCTTAAAGGTCCACATTTTTTTTTTCAATAAGACAAAGGTCCGTTTATTACGGTCATTCAAACCTTTAAACAATTGCAACAAGATTCTTAACACGAGGTTGCAAAAACAAAAATAATCTGTATGCAGCAGTTTTCATTGTTATTGTGTCTGTGCTTGATCCCTCAGAGTCGCAGTGTAAGAGCTGCACAGTTATGAATAAAGGCAGCTGCACCCTCTTTCATTCAGCATTCCCATTATTGCTTTATAAATGTCTTGCCCCCTTGTGTGTCCACTGAGGTTCGTCAGGCCCAACACATCTTCAACAAACTCCCCCTTTGCCTCATCATAAAAACTCACAAACACCAGCAACTGAGCATTGTCAGTGGTGTCAGTGGACTCATCCACAGCTAAGGAAATGCACTGTGCATTTTTTATTCCATCACAAAGCTGATTAATCAAATCACCTGCCAGTATTTATGTTCTTCTGGTTGCTGTGGAATCTGAGAGGGGGATTTGCTTGATTTGACCTGTTATTTCCTCTTTTTGTTTGCCTTCAAACATGGTCTCCATCACTTCAGTCATGCATTCTTTTATACCTCAGTTATTATCCAGTGGAAAGCCCTTACCTACTGGCCTAGTTAAATCAAAGTGGTTACTCTTTTTTTGGCTGGGCAGTGTAGTTTTACACACCGTCTTATTTGACTTTCTCAGGACTTAAAACTGTTTTTTGGGGGCAGACCCCCACAAAGAAAAAAATATATTTACACACGTAAGGTCATCATCTTAACAGTTTTGTATGCTCATCCGTGAGCAGAGCATGAAGTTGACTGCGGCGATTACCATTTTGTTCAGCAAAACGCCTCACAAAATTAGTAAGATCAACAGCTTTAGTGCGTTTTGATTCAATGCTGAGTACAGCCAAACTTGACAGTCTCTTCTCTGTCATTGTAGACCGCAAATACCTCATTCCTTCAGTACTTGGGTCCGAATACTTCTCGTTTTGCGCCGTACCGTTCAAATGAAATCGCCGCCAATCATATTTCCACGCTCGCGCCAGGGCCGGGGGAGGGGTTACAAGACGTGCGTCTTGTGCTGCATTAGAGACTTTCTCTCATAAATGTCCGATGAGCCACAACTTTTCTTTCAAAACAAAGCTGCCAACTGGGGTGGCAGCTGGGGTGGCAAGGCCTATTTTTAGGGTGGCAGTTGCCACCCCATGCCACCCCGGTAGGTCAAACTAGATGAGTTGTTAACTCTCGCTCTGACTTTTTTTTTTTTAAACACACACGCATTTTTCCCACCCGCATTCCGCGAAGACCCGCCCTACTGTGCATCTGATTCGCAGACTGTTGGTGGGGGAAAAAAACGCTGACGGGATGCTGAATGTGATTGGACCAATGCGTTGACAGACACACACAGACAGTGGAACAGTCGTACATGCAGAGCGCTGTATGCAGTGGACATAGCGGAGAATGTTGACTCGTTGCGTTGTGGCGATGTCTCGCAGATAACACAGATAACACAGATAATACATATGAAAAGTATAATTTGCTCAGAGTCCAGAGACAGTTGTGGTTCGGTCCGGATCCGGACCGGAGTCCGGACTTTGAGGATGCCTGCTCTATACTGACTATGCTTATACAAGCATGTGCACAAATCAGATTTGCACTAGTTGATTTCATGTTAGTTAAGTTAGTTAGTATTTGCTTGTGTTGATTTGTGTTGGTTCTCTCGCGTCCCAGGAGAGAAGCTTGCAATAAGGAGACTAATGGAGTCTCTGAAAAGGTTCAAATGGGTTACTTTAATTAAATGGCGCGGTAATGAACCAAGCAGAAGGAGTGAGGAGAGAGCAGCTGCAGCTGCTGTCTGGAGGCGGCCCGGTCAAGAAGTGCCTGAGATCGCGTTGTCCCCCGTCTGTATCGATCCAGCGCTCCTCCTTCAATGGCGGCTGGTGACGTCGTTCTCCCACCTCTTTCTCCAATGTCCGATATCGCACATAACAGAGGATTTAAACGTCGTGTGGTCATTGTATAACACGGCTTTTCTCCTCATACACTCTTTCATGACTTTTTATTTAATGCATTTTAACGGCTGTAATCGATCTTATCGTGAAACCGGAAGTGGTCATTGTTGTCGTCTCTCAATACAGCTTTTCAAAGTAAACTTTAACCGGAACTGTTTTCAGAATAAAACAGTTTTGAACTTACTGTTTGTTTAAACTAAATTACGTCATTCAATGTTGATTTTAATTTCTAACACTTGTTATTTTGAATTTAGAAGACAATTATGTATGTTGTTGAGTTTGGCTTCTCCTTATCCCTCCCTGCATATATTTGTATTTGTTTTTTTTGGGGCATCCTGTGCCTTTATGTAGAGACCGAGTTGTAAAGGGGGGACAGAGGGGATAACATGCAGCAAATAGTCCCAGACCGGATTTGAACGATGCAGCAGCAGTATTAGCAAGGCAGAGAGGGCAAATCTTGCAGTTTGAATAGAGCGCCAGATTACGGTTGGTTGGTCGTATGAGGGGGAAAGGCATGTCACATGTTTGTGTCATTGCACGAGTTGACAGCCTGAACTACCTCGCAGGCTTCACTTTCTTTCATGCATCTTACCAAAAACACATTTAAAAAACATCGACTTCAAGATGAGGGAACAAAGAAGTGCTAACATGCTAACTCATTCCTAGCTTTAGGACTCTTTCCTGCACTAATGTTTTATGGCGCTTAAAAAAAATGCACTGTAGCTTCTTATTTACATTAAAGGTAAAACAAATTCCCAGGAAGAATCAATTTATTTTTATCGCTTCTCTCACACATTCCCTCCTCCTTCTTCCGCTCCTTGCTCGTCTCTCTCTGCCGCCGTGCTCCAGCTGACCCGCAATGATCGCTCCTAACTTGGTGTGAGTTCATTTGCATAATGAGGATTACAGCTGACACGCAGCGTCTGGGCCTGTCAGGCTGCATCCAGCAGAGGAGAGGTGCTGTGTGGCAGATCCCATTGTGCCAGCCAAATGCCAGCCTCCATCAGAGCTCACCAGGAGTGCCGCCTCTTAGCCACCATCAGCCTGAAACAGTGAGGGACAAATGGACTGAGTGCAAAATTATTCATGTGTGAAATTAGCCATTGACAATGGCTAGTTAGATACCGATGAATTAAAATGCATTTTCTCCCTCAAACGTTCCAGGCAGAGCAAATTGATGAGCTTTATCCAATAATAGTTTAATTAGCATCAGGTTTGTCTGGAGGAGGAATTACATTTATTCTTGTTAGTGTTTTTCTTTCTATTCCAAATGAGCCGCCTGCTTTACAGCTGAGGAAATTCCACAGTTCAAACCACACTGTAAAAACTGTTGCTTTGGTAAAACTTAAAAAATATGTGTCAAGTGATTCCAAGCAATTTTAAGAGTTTAGTCAACTTTTGCATTTTTTGAGTTGGTGAAATGTACTTTTTTTAGTTTTCCTCTACTCAAGAATGTGTTACTTTGCTAAAACTTAAAAAATATGTGTCAAGTGGTTCCAAGCAATTATAGGAGTTGGGTAAACTCACTAATGTGATTTTCTCTGGATATGAAAAGATGAGATGAGCCTACAATTAAAAGCCCAGATATTAAGTGTAACCAATGCAAATAACAATCTGCTAAGAACCACACGAGAATAAAGTAAATTATAAAACACAATTGAGTTGCCGGAACCTATATACGACAAACTCTTCCTGATTTCAATCCAACCCTTTAAATATTTGATAGCATTGAAACATTGCAGATTAAACAAATAAATTAAAAAAGGGAACGTTATGGACATGTTAATACATTTTATTAAAATGTGAT